CGGCCAAGTTTGAAAAACACTGACTTACTGGCTACCCAGAGCCTTCCTGAGGTTCACCCAACTCATTCAACCAAAAGCTAACTGCACGGGCTGGTTTTGCAACTAACTAGCATCCACGTTTTAACCTTTCCTATGCATGCAAAATCCACCTGTACGTAGGTGGTTCTTAATCTGAGCCTGTAGTCATCTCAGTCTACTTGCTAGTGAACTAGGCAACATGGCCATTCTCGACAATGCTGTTAAATTCTGGTTCTTGTTTCCTCTAGCCAGGGTTGAGGAACGATGGGAGTCGCCTTCCAACCTCACTACCGCTCTCTATTCCCATTTTTTTCAGGGGGCAACAACTTCCTCAAGCAAATGCCTTTCTGCTGAAGTGTTTTGGGCAATTTGCAGTGCTGGGAGTCTGGGGAGCAGAATGTGAAATACCAACAGGCAGCAGCCATTGTGAATACGGAACGTAGTTTTCTGCAGAAGGATCCCTTCATAGCTAAAGACTGGTAAGTGGGGCGGATTGAACTGTCAGCAAGCTGGATATGAAGGACTGAGAATTACAGAGCAATCCTCTGTCACGTCGGTTTACCACTCGCCTCCCAACTCAAAGGAGGTTAAGAAATGGCCAGAGTTTGCCTCCTGCTGCTGTGTCTGAAGATGTGGGGAGTCCATACAGAGGAGGGAAGCTGGGAGACCGGGTGGAAAAGGAATGACTCTGCCACGAATGACGATTGGAAGCAACGGCTACCCAAAAGCATCATTATTGGCGTGAGGAAAGGGGGTACCCGGGCCTTGCTGGAGATGCTGGGTTTACATCCCCAGGTTGTAGCCGCTCACTCCGAGATACATTTCTTCAACGTGGAAGAGAATTACCAAAAGGGATTGGATTGGTACTGCCAACAAATGCCAATTTCCCACCACACTCAAATCACTGTGGAAAAGACACCGGGCTATTTTTTTTCCCTAGAGGCCCCAGAGAGGATCCATGCCATGGACAGTTCCATGAAGCTCCTCTTGATTGTGCGGGATCCTGTGGAAAGGTTGGTGTCCGATTACACCCAGATCCTCCACAATCGCAAAGCACGGCAGAAACCGTACCAGTCCCTGGAGCAAATCCTGAAGAGGGGCCAAGAGCTGAACACCAAGTACAAGGCCGTGCAACGCAGCCTTTACGCCCTACACTTGGCCCGGTGGTTGGAGCTCTTTCCCAGAACCCAGATTCACGTGGTAGATGGAGGTGTCCTAATACGGCAGCCACTCTCAGAAATGCGACACGTGGAGCAGTTTTTGGGACTGGAGCCTTACTTAGGCCCAGGCAACTTTTATTTCAACCAAACAAAAGGCTTCTATTGCCTCCAGGCTGAAGGGCAGCAACACTGTCTTGACCAATCTAAAGGGCGACCTCACCCCCCCATTGACGAATTACTACTGGAGCAACTCTGCACTTACTTCAGTCAGCACAATGAGAACTTTTTTGCCATGGTGGGACGGACTTTCAACTGGTGCTGAGCCTTGTGTTGAGGCTAACTTGGACATTCAGAGGACTTTCTACAGTAAAGCTTCCTATTTTTCCCTCAAATGAGCTGGAAATTGAACTCTACCACTGTATGGTAAATCAGTTTACAGTGAAACAGCCAAGCACGAAGTTGCTTATACCCTGGAGGTTTTGAAGTCCTTGGGGAACCACCTGAGCCAAGGCAACTTTTTGACAAAACTGTTAACTTTTCTAGATCTCACAGCAGGTGAAGTTATGCTCTTTACTGTTATGTACCCAAGAAAAACTAAGTCTAGGCTATAGGACATAGATCCTTCTTCCTGAAAATCTTATGAGCCATGGCAAAAATAAACATGTTGTCGACATAATTATATGTCCCTATATTCCCACACACAAACAACTTGCAAGAGTTGTATTCAGCTTCTCTTTTCTACCTCCTCACTCAACGCTGTAAGCTAAGCTAAGCTATTAAGTTGCCTATTTAGCCCAAACAGCTCTTACTGGCAGGGCCTCCGGAGTACCAGGTAAAAGACTTTTGGCACTAAAAATAATTTAATTAGAATTTGAAATCAGGCCTTTCTTCTCAGTGGCCTTTCTGTCCAAGAGACACTGGCACCCCGAAAGAAATACTAAAGGCCTGGAACCTATAGGTAGTCCATTATATTCACATCCATTTCTGTTATCTGCCTAAAATCCGGCCAAATAATATTTTTAGAACTTGGAAGCAAGCATATTAATTTTCTGCACTGTGGTTAATGCATTGAACAAAGCAGTCTGGAAATTAGTTGTTTTCACCTCCTGACAAGAATAACCTTTCACTCCAATCAATCCTTTCTCTTTTATTTGATTATCTCTTAGAAAACAGCCTCTTTCATTAGCAAAGCATTGTTGACATTCTGTTAATCCATCAGCAAAAGAAGGAAGTTGCAGCATCTTCGGTGCGGAAGTTCCAATCCCTAGAATGCTGAGCCTCTAGATAACAGAAGCCTTGTCTGTTCTGTAGCTATCAGTCCATGTTGTCAGTTACACAGGAGTGATGTTGATTAATATTCCTAAGAAAAGAAACACCACCTACTCCTACTATAGTTTTTAAAGGCCCAAAGTGAGCATGCTAATTTTCTTACTACCACTGTTGTAATGCTAATCTGCTACAGCACTGTTAACTGAAGGGACATCTGAAAAAAAAAAAAAGATGAGCAAACTATGCCAAATTCAAAGGTCTATTTTGTTATATAAATATTGCCTTTGTTAGGACAGTATTTTATTAGATTATCAGTTACCATGGAATCATCAAATGTAACCTGAAGTCCCAATTCATATCCAAATTGGTTGTTGTATCTAACTTACCTAAATCATTTCATCTCACTTTTACCATATATAGCATTTTGAAAGCTATTTTAATAAGGACAATGTTTAAAATTACAATGCACAGGAATATAGTGAATAAACTTAAAAAAACAAACAGCCATCCACACTAATAGGAATGGGGAAACAACTGAAACCCTACTTGATCTCATTCAGTCCAAAATTCTTACAATATTCTACTTTAAAGACTGTAACTCCTTGTAATTTTTAGATCAAAATTTTAATTAACCCTGGAATTTTGCCCCACAGTGAAATTATAATTGAGGGAAAGTTTATACAAATTAATTTGAGAACAGCTATAGGTAAGCCAAAAACTTGGAGATTTGAGACCATTCTGCCATTATGTTTAATCAGCAATATGCCTACAATTGTATTGTGTAAAGCAGTTCTGAAAATTAATAGTGGAAAGAAATATTAGTTCTTGCTTAAAGGGTATCATAGTGGTAACACTGCCAGTTATAATCACTGTAGCATTGCTGGTTTAGAATTTTGTTACAGATGATGTATTTGTCAGAACACAACAAAATAATAGCTGAAACAAAAGCAAGTAGGTTGGTTCAAGAATACAGCAGTATTCAATGCAAAGCCACCGACTTCAAAAAGGTTATCAGCCGTGAGCAGCAAAATACAGGGGTGGGCATCTTTGCTAATATAATAACACTGCATATCTCCATGTTTGTGCAGTGTAGGAATTTAGAGAAAAAGTTTTAGTAGGCAAAAACAATTGTAAGAAAAGTTGCATTGTTAAAATTCATAAAAGTTATTTTAAGTGACATTAAAATCTGGACTTTGATCTCTATGTTAATAAGCAAGAGTAAACAAAGTTAACCATGAATGTGGCTATACCCAAGTTTAAAATGTGTGACTGTTTATTTTAAACATTTCAATAGGATTTTACTGCATTTATCCCTTTTATACCGGAATGACACACAAGAATAGGTTTTGTAAAAAATGGTTTTATCAGTTCCATTTTTGTATAAAACACATGGGAGAAACCTAGCCAATCAACACACAAATTGCTGCCACGTAACAAGGTACTTTTTGTCAAACTTTAAATCTAAAGAACATACAAATGTTTTAAGTCTACAGTCAATTGTCTATGCTCTTCCATTTAACTATTTTTTTAAAAAAATTCCACATATCCCCATATTTCTTCTGTCCCAATTACAGTACAATGACAGAGAGGAAGAGGGCTGTTTAAAACGCCTCTTTATGCAGTTTTCTGCTGTCCCTTCTTTCCAATCAGAGACTTGTGGATGTGAGGAATTACACCTGCAGAGAGAATAAAAGAATTAAGAGAAATATACATGATAATATCAAGATTTAACACACTGATCAATACTTACACAAACACGTCGCCATCTTCCCTTCCTCCTCCCAGCCTATTCCAACTTAAAGTTCTCTAGCAGCCACTACTCTTTTTATCACACACTTCAATAAATAATTCAGTTTAAAAGGGTTTTCATGGAAGATGAAATGTTCTCCAAGAAAAACCTCACAATGTTTGCTCTGCACTTCTATTAAAATTAACATTGGGAACATAGAGCTGCTAAATAAATTAGTTTATTTCAAGAGGGAAAGACAAGATTAAATCAGTAATGAGAAAAATACAGAGCTGATGCTGTGTATATAAAGTAATTGTGTAATACCCTGTACAAAAAAGATGGGCTGGAAAATGTTCTAATATCAACATTTTTCACTTCAGTAATGTCAGGCAGTTTCAAAGATGTACAATGTTTACTTTTCAAGCAATTGTCCTGAAACACTGAGAAGTTAAAAGTTTCATTTCACTGATTGTTGCCCAACATTGTTTCCAACATTCAAATATTCTTTTTCTCCACCTGAAATAGGCTAGATTTCATTTTTTTTCACATCAAAGAATGTAGCCCAAATGCCTGTGTAGGGATATGGAGATGAATATGCTAATTAGAATCACATTCATTTGCATGGGAAATTTTTGGGAAAAACTGGGCTGCCAGGCAGCAAAAACAGTTTTTATCACATTGTTTATCACTTTATCAAAAATCAAGGAGGGGAATGGAAGAAATTATTCATCAGCTTAGAAGGTATTATAGACAAGCAGTTCATGAAGTGCTTAACTGAGGCCTGAATCCCCAACATGGTGCCTTCAGACATCTCTCTCAGTGCTTCAGGCTCCTTGCCCCAGCTTAATTTTTTTAAATCAAAAGATGGCTGGCAAGCCATAAAGTAAAGCAGCAGCCATTAACAGCAGCTTTATGTCTAAGACTTCAGTGGCCCAACAAGACTTTCTTGGAAAATAAAAATCCTGTCTCTGAAAATATACCCACTTGCTGAGAAATAGAGGAGGGAGAGGGAGAGGGAGAGGGAAAGGATGCAATGAAAGGCCTCTTGGTGGAGCAGCACCCTAATCTAGTTTGCCTTCTGACGAGTGAGTGAGTGAAAGGTGCCTTGCCCTTCATGGCAACCATTTAGTAAAGGCACCCGTCATATATTCTCAACATTTCAACGATGCCCACTGGCCCAAAAAGGTTGGGAACGTCTGACACAGGCATTACTGAATTCCCTTTGATAAATAGTTAAAATTCATCATTCCAGAAGCTATGACAATACATACCTCCACCAGCAATGGTTGCTTTAATAAGGGAATCCAACTCCTCATCACCACGAATAGCAAGCTGCAAATGACGAGGAGTGATACGTTTTACCTTAAGATCCTTGGAGGCGTTGCCTGCCAACTCCAAAACCTGTTGGAATAAACACAGCTGCATATTTTAGTTTCCTAGTTTTTTGAAGAGTTTAATTTTCATAGTTTAATTTTTGCAAATATAAAATATACATTTTATAGTTCAGAGTAATGATGCATAGAACTAATACCTCTTAAAGAAACAACTATTTGTGTTACAGGTATAATATGATTGTTGCAAATTTGCACAAGTGGTAGCCC